TGCGGAGAGCGACAAGTAGGTAGCGTCAAAGCTGAGTTAATGCCCAACGGCCTTTCATCCATCGGCTGCTCGAATGCGCTCGCGCAGATACGAGCAGCTTGCAAATCTACCAAGCTCGGAATTTAATACTCGCTCTCGTCTAAACTCGGCGGCGACGAAACTCCAATGAGTGCGTTCATACATCGACGCAAGCGACCAAATGACAGCCCGATAGGTGCGGCGACGCAACACGCGAGCTGCTAGCCAACGTGAAAAAAGTCAAAAGGGAGGGATTAAAGCCGATAAATTTCACAAAAATCATGGCTCAACCTGTCGCCGCGAGAAAACGACTTTAATCCCTTTCTCGTCTGCGGGTACCAGCTTCGCGCGCGCGCGCGCAAGGCAAACGCTGCCGTCTCCTTTTTTTCGCACGATGGATTAGTTCGATATTAGAGAATGAGAGAAGCGGGGGAGGGAGGCGGGCAGGCGAAAAACGATTGCATGCGAATCGCGAGCGGGGCGAATATAATTTGCCTGGCGACGGCGCTGATCCTCCTCGCCCGAGCTTTGGCGCCGCCTTGCATTTGAATATAATGCAGGCGCGTTCCCTCGCTCGGCCTCTGCGATTAAGAGAGAGAGAGAGAGAGAGAGAGAGAGGGAGAGAGAGGCTGTAATTATGCTGATGCGCGTGGCCAAGGCTCGGGCAGCCATTGTTGGTGTAGCGCGCCGCATGGCCGCGAGCGCTGCAGCGTCTGACGCGGGGCCCCTCTCCACTTTTTTTCTGACTTGGTTGCGCTTTACTTCTCGTTCCTGGCTTGATTTATACGCGCAGCGACAAAGGGGGGGGGGGTACCGCTACAATTCAATTTTTTAACAAGTGCATCGCGCGCCAGCGCACCTTTAATCAATGCAATCAGGACTATTGTCGCAAGTTTTTGCGACGGCATCCAGCTCTATTGATCTTTGAGAGAGAGAGAGAGAGCAGCATGATTTACGGCGCGTTGCGTAGCAATTACGATAATATGATATTGTGCTGTCGATTCCATTCCAGCAGTTTCCAGCTGAGAATATTCCAACGTTTATGATATTTGGCTTGCCAACTGCAATTCACGCGTGTCTCCGAATCGATTATTTCCAGAATGCACGACAACGGAAAGGGGACGGACGTGGAAAGCACGCCTCGTCGCAGAATATCGAATCAAAACTGGAAAAAGTGCAAATTTTATAACGGAAATATAAAATTTTATCAAGACGAAAGGAGCGTGATTCAAATACGTAGGTTTCCGGGGCTGTAGCCTTGTGCGCGCGTGCGAAGGGTGGCTGCCGCGCAAAATTTTGCTTCGCTCGAAAGTGCACAGCAGCGAGAAAAATAAACGAGGCATTTCGTCGTCGTCGTCGTCGTCGTCGTCGTCGCTGCCGCTACCGCTGCCACCGCGCCGCCGTCGTCGTCGTCGTCGTCGTCGTCGTCGTCGTCGTCGTCGTCGCCGCCGTCGTCGTCGTTGAGGAAAAGAAGAAAAAAGAAAAAAGAAAAGATCCTCTCCGGTGGCACTTGGGGAGATTTGTTCGGCTGGAAAAGCGGTGTATGCAAACGCCAATAGGGTGACAACGCCGCTCAACTATTGTCCCGGAGAAGTTGGCATTCCTGGAGAAGAGTTTTTTTCCGGGACAATAGATGCTCACCGACGTAAAGCCCGATACGAGATCTAAGTAGGCCATGCTCAGCTACGGTTATGGCCGTATAAAGCCGAATTTTTCTCTCCCTTTTATGGCCGACGAAAAAGTAAACTGTCGCTATGATTGCCTATGCAAATTGTTTAAGATATCCGGGAACAGGCGAGGGATCGACTCAAGCGAGTGGCGGATGTGCACGGCTGCGCGTTACGAGCGGCGAAACACGATTTTTATGAACTTTGATGTGTTCCGCTTCTCTCGTCTTTTATCGTCAGTTTTATACTCACTCTAAAGAAGCTTTGATCGTCAGTGAAACTGCGTTATGACACTCACCTGGAACACGGGAAGCATTGGCAAGCATTAGAAATGAAATGGAAGCATGTACACGGTAGTTTACGCGTGCTTTTCCCGAGATGAAATCTGATATCCCGGTGCAATTTCGGAAAGGTCGCGAGCGTCGATATATAAAGCGCGCGCTCGTGCAATCGCTCGACGCGGCCATTCCCATTGATTTAAGAAAAGCGGAAGAGTGGTGCGCGCCGCGCGCAAGCCAAAATCGCGGCCGCGCGTAGACAGCTATACGCGCGGTGCCTCGTCCCCCGAAGTAAATTAAAATGGATTATAAATTTGGGCCAAGCGAAGTCTTCGATGTCGCTTGGCTTTTTGGCGATCGCAGGCAATTTTAAGAATGGCCGAAATTCGCCGCGAATAAATCATAGCGCGCCGGCGACTGAACCAGCCAGAAATTGAATCTTCCACTTAGCGAGTAAAGAATTGCAGCGCGCGCGAGCTCGGGGCATCGCTGCTAGCGAGCGGGCATGTATCTTTTGCCAGCAAGTGCAAAAACTTTTGCCGCTCGCGGGCTATACGCCTTGAAAATAGACGACCAGGAATTTGATTTAAGGCAAAAGGCAGAATAGAAATAAAAGGTTCGCGTGGCGCTGCTGCTCGCCGGCGAATGAAAAACAATTTCGATGTTGCTCGTTGCAAAACTTTCGGGGAGAGAAAATTAGTAAGCTGAGTGACACCGCGGAATAAAATTAAGGCGCGCGCGCACGTAAGTGCGCGAGGCGCGAGAGAGCGCGCACTTCTCTGTCTAATTAAACTTGTGGGCGCGAGAGAAGCTGCGAGCTTTCAAAATGACAAGCGCCTGACGCAATAATGCGCTGCTGCTGCCGCCGCCGCCGCCGCCGCCGCCGCCACCGCCGCTCTTGCTGCTGCGCTGTTAGCCGACCTCGCCCTCCTATTCTTTCTTTCTAAATTTGAAACTTCGCGCATGCCTCGCCTCTCTCTCCTGTACATTTGCAAACACCAGATCTCGTCTATTTCCGAGTGCCGTTCATTTTCTCTTTTTTTTTCTTTCTTTTTAATTTTCCGAAACCATTCGTCACTTTTCGCCCGTGGCAGTTTTTTCGACAATTTATCGCTCTGCGCGCGCACGCAACAATTCACCAGCGTGGGGAAATTTAATCAAAACACAGCGCACGCTAGACGTGACACGGCCGCGGCGGCGGTCAGGCCAAATATGCCGCTCGGAGAGCGACTCTGCAGAGCGACACGCAGAGAGAAAGAGAGAGAGAGAGAGAGCAACAGCTAGGGATTCCACCTTCATCAAATTAATTTAATTTATATCTGGCTGTCCGAGGCTGCGCTTCCTCTCTCTCTCTCTCTCTCTACTTTTTTCTTCATTTCTCGTTTTGTTGCGGGCCTTCTCTATTCTGTTCGACGGGCGAATTTCATTCATTCGTCATAATCGTTTCTATACATACAACATGGATTATTCATGAACTCGTCGTCTAGATTGGAATTTGGAATGTTTTTTGAACGACCATCCGTCCATAGCGGAAATCGAGGATTCCAATATTCTTTCCAAACCGTAATCTAAACACATACGTACAGCAGCGATCTATCGCTCATTAAACGCAAAGTTATAATCGAGAGTTCTGTAATCTAAAATTTTTGGCATCATTATTGCATTGCTCGCATGGCCCCACGCGGGGGCGCGTGGCTGTACAGCGGCAGCCGGATTCGATTAGCGAGCCGAGCAGTCGGTTTCGCTACTGGTACGATCGATCGCCGATAGTTAACCCAGAGCTGCACACGCATTAGAGAGCGTGTCCAAGAACGCCCAACTGTGTTGCCGACGTCATATCCAATCGAGAGAGAGAGAGAGAGAGAGAGAGGGAGAGAGAGAGAGAGAGAAGGCGCTGCCTGCGAACGAGCGAGGGACGTAGCGACACATACGTAGTCGATTCTCGGCGACGCTTCGGAAGCCCTCAGCGTCGCCGCCATCCCCCCGATTGGCCAGTAATGCCATTAGGCTGCTGCTGCCAGGCCGTTGCAATATGATTACCAGCAGCTCCAGAGAGTAACGCGCCGGTAGCGCCAGCGCCAGCGCCAGAGATGAGGTAACCTGATCGCACGCATCGTCCGAATTTGCTCTTCTAATCGACGTGTCTGCAGAGTCGCGCCGTCCGACCCACGGGCGTTATCGCGCGCGTTCTTCTCTCGCGGCCAATGCAAGATTGGCTGCTTAACTTGCAGGCCGCCGATTCAATCGGCGCGCGGTAATTCGTCTTTGTTTCGACGCGCCGACTGACATGTGTGCCGGCATCGCGCGATCAAATATGGTGTGCGACCGCTGTAGGCAGTGCTGGGCGCGCGGGGGAGCTCCGTTCGCTGTACTTTTTGCGGCTCGGATTACTTTTGGGTCGTGTGTGAATCGCTGCTCGAAGGGGGGAAGCGAGTGCTGGCTGGCGAACCCGGAGTCGAGCTCGGCGAGTGGGGGAGAGCCGTTCCTTATCTCGGCATTAGAAGATTAGGAGATTACGTCAGGACAGTCAAGATGAATTAGATCATTAATCTGCTTTTCTCATTCGACTACATTTTGCAAAGGCGTCGCCTGCTGCCTCGCGGCGATGATCAACGCGCAGCCGTCTTTTCTCGGTGGTCTGAGCGCTAGGCGACGGCGCGCGCAGCTCGTCGCCTTCGGCCGGACGTTTAATTAGAGCCCAAGAGATGTGTCTGCGCTGAAACAAGAAGCGACGATTTCGCGCGAGCTCCTCTGGCATCGCGCTTTTTTGCCTCGCTGGAATTTCACACGGTGACGACTGTTCGCGGAACGCCGATTTCGAGAGAGAGCGCGCAGCAGCAGCCATCGGCGCCTCTCTTTTTCTATCTCCCCGTCAGTCGCGTGCTGCTGCTGCTGCTGCTGCTGCTCTTGTTTTATTCGGCTGTTGACGCAGTTCCGCGAAGTGCCAACTTGAAAATGGTCGCGCGGGGACAGGAAGCCGCGGCGTCGCCGCGTCGACGACGCACAGACGGGGCAGCAAAATAAAGCGCTGACTTACCGTTAGGTGTTGAAACAGCCACGCCCTGAGGATGTTGGTCGCGACCTTGGGGAAAATGCCCCTCTTCTTTTGGTTCTTCTTGCCCGTTGAGTCGTCGTCCTCCTCGCCCGTACCCTCTCCGCTACCGATACTCGCGTTACTCGCATCACCTGTAACAATATCGCAACATCCACCTTAGTCATCGACATGGACAATCTTGTCGGCATCGAGATAGGCCGCACCGATATCACGAAAATGACGCGGCAGCGCGTCCGACGCTTCGGCAGGCACGAGGTCTCTCGTTAAGCCGGAGTCGCAAGAAGCGCGATTATGGCCTCGGAGTGTATGCGTGGGACCTCCCCAGGCACAAAAAGCCAGCTGACGATGGCTCGAATCGACGTGTATAATATAACCAATGTGTGCGAGAGAGAAAGAGAGAGAGAGAGATTAGACATGAGCTTGAGCGCCACGACTCTATTCGTTCGCTACATTAACCCGCTTTCATCCCGGAAAATTAACCGCAATCGCCGTATATTACCGGCGAGCTCCTTCTTGTTCTTCTTCTTCTTCTTCTGGTAGAAAACCTCATTAACCGACGCCGTAGTGTCTGCAGGAAGACTTTTTTCTACGGAGCGGCTCAAACGTTTCTTCATACAGAGTGGATCGTTCCGTCATCGCGAGTCGCAAAAGTGCGCGTGGGTATATAATGAAGGACAGCGAAGAAAGCTCGAGGAGGCTGGCGATCGCTCGGCCACGATAGAACCTTGAGAAACGGACTGCGCGATAAGATTCGGTCATTTATAATGCCCTGCGCGCGCTCGCGTTTTATCAGATACGGGCGACTTGATGCTGCTCGCCTCGAACTCCTCTTAATAAACCAAAGTCAAAGAGAGTGTTTGTTCTTTGACTATTTTCAAAGAGAGCGAGAGGGAGGGGTTCGGAGGGTGGTCGGCCACCAATCGTGAAAAAGAAAGCAGCGTAGAGAGTATTTACGTGAGTGCGCGCGCGCATTGTTTGGTCTGGGCCCAGCGAAGACGAGACATCTTCGTCTCTCCGTCCCGCAAGATAGCCGAACTCCGCCTGGGCTCTATTTAAGGTATTCGCTGGCTGTCGAAATAAGCTCGCGGCGCGGCGCGCATATGGTCGACGAGCCCGAAAATAAACATTCCTAATTCCCATGGCGCGCGTCGAACCGCGACAGAGCGCGCGCGAGAGCGAGGGCGAGGGCGAGGGCGAGGGCGAGATTTACGCCGCGGATACTTGACGAATCGCGCTCCGTCGCTCGCTGCTCGTCGAGAGATTGACGGCTCGCTGCTCGCGGTCGATTCTTTGCCGCTCGGAACGTCATCCGCGCGCCGCCCGAGCTTGTAACTCCATGCCGGACGCAAACAGATTAGCGGGCATACGGAAGTGCCGCAAAAAAAGGGGGGAGCGGCGCGTGCTTGCGCGCAAAAAATAGAACGGGAGTACGCGCCGGATACCAAGACATTTATTCGCTACGGAACGCCGAGCCGTGCGAGCCGTACGAAATGTGCGAGCGAGCGGAGTGGCAGGCGGCAAAAACCAAGTAAAAAGCCTATAACACGAATAACACGAGAGGAGCGGAAAAATACGGGGCAAGCGGCAGACGATCCGCGCGGGGGGAACGAGAAAAGCACGAGATATCCGCGCCTCTTTGGATATCGCGTTTCACGCCGCTCCTTTCTTCGGCGTCTACGCTCGTCAACTTAACGCCAAGCCGCGCCAATGATTAAGCGCGCGGAAAATGCCCGGCTTCGGCCGCCACGCGGATCCCGCTGCTTGGTTTTGTCTCGTTTTTCATTCCTCCAGCGGCGAATCGATACAAACCCAATCTCGGACTACACGGAATCCGGGAGAAAGGGAGAACTGCAAGCTCGGTTCGGCGATCCCATCGGTGCGAATCTAAATACTTTTTCGGGCGTCCGCGGCAGCTCCACTCGCGCCATTGAATTTTCAAGCTCGGGCGCGCGTGCGTCGGGCTAATCTAGCCGGAAAGCGCTCTGGGCTCTCTAACCAATCCCGCCGCCGTGCGTCCGAACTTTTGTCGCGCTCGAGCGCAATAAAGCCTCGTTACCTCTCTCTCTCTCTCTCTCTCTCTCTCTCTCTCTCTCTCTCTCTCTCTCTCTCTCTCTCTCTCTCTCTCTCTCTCTCTCTCTCCCCCGCGGCGAGCATTGAATTCTCGGCCGGCAAAAAAAAATACGACCCTCCCAAATGGCATTGCAGACTCTTTTATGGAGGCTGCCTTTCTGTCGAGCTTTTTCTAAAATCAGCGCTCTTTTTTTCTACCAAGCGTAGGTTACGAAGCTATTATATCGCGTCCGCATTCCTCGGCTACGCGAAGACGAGGTACAGAGCCGCATTGGAATCAAGCGCCGGAGTTGTGCGCGGCACTCAAAGTGCCGAGGCGCGCGAACGCAACGCAGAAAGCGAGATACGCGCATACGCCCAGAGAGGCGCTAATGTTTTCGCATACTACTACTCTCCGAATCGGGAAGAGAGAGAGAGAGAGGGTCATTGCACCAAAACACTCTCCGTGCGTACTGCCTACATCTATCTATAACCGTGGCGCACATTAACCACGCGGCATTCGTTACTCCGAGATGAGCAAACTGACGACGAGCGCGAGAAAAATCGAGCGAGAGATAGAAATCGCGGGCCGAAGCGAGCAAAGCCAAAACCATCCGTCGAGGAGGAGCGGCTTTGTGCCAAGCACGTTGTCTTTCCATTTGTCCTTCTTCTGTCTTCCGAAAGTCAAAGGCGCAGCGCCGGCGGCGTGCTCGTTTGGCCGCAAGATTAATCCAAGATCGTGCCTCGCGAGAGCGACGAGCCGCGAAGTTGGCTGTGCGCGTGCGCTCGTAAATGTCCGCGGCCGGCGGAAAGTGCATTGTCACGGCGCCGCAGCGATGGACCGTGTGCCGAGTGGCCGAGGAAATTTGTCCGCGGGCCGATCGGACGGCGCGGCTGTCCCGACGCCGGTGGCAAAGCGAAAACCACCCGAGAGCTCGTGTAATCCGATCAAAGGCAGCGACAAGGCGAGGCGTATTATAAGCAATGAGGCGCTTGCTCGCGCGAAGTTTGTCTTACAAATGAGGCTTGCGACGCGAATGATTTAGTGCTCGAGAGCGTTGCGGCGCGCTGCGCTTCGTATATTGTGCGCGCGCGTTTGCGTGGGTGGCTAGTTACACTTTAGTTATTAGCCGGCTCGCGCAATGGATAATAAATATCAACCGCGAGAGAGCGAGAGTGGAGGGGGCCGGCGCGTATATTTGGCTCGATAAATATCGATCGCTTGTTGCACTTGTTCGCTCCGACATCAAAAGCTGTGTAGTAGCCAGAGTGAGAGAGAGGGAGCTTGAAAAATGGCTTTTAATGGATTTGTTTATACGCCGAGCGAGAGAGAGCGCGCGAGCTTTGAAGTGATTACCTAGTACCCGCCACCGCCGTTCATGATTGATAGCTTAATGCGAAATTATTGCTGTGCCAAACGGAGAGCATAGCTGTCGTTATTTACGACTATTGACTTCCTTACTCGTCTGGCGATACTCGTAATTGTCGCTTGACGGCAAATCCAATCGGCTTCTTCGTCCAAAGTCCTTGCCTCAATTATCCTAATTCCAATGAGAGTTGAGGATTCCGAAATATCTCATTCCGCCGGACGACGAAGATCCGAAGGGACGACGACGACGACGCGAAACTCGTGCGTCTGCTCTCGCGCGCAGTCAGACAAAGTTATGCGGATTAAACTGCAGGAAATCCTATATCTCTCGCGCAACATGAGCAACGCCTTGCGCCTTGTGGTTTACAGCTATGGTTATTACTTGGGAAAGTTGGCCCAAAATTTGAACGCTCGTGCGAAAAATTTGTTCAACAGAGCTTACTCGAGCCGATGATTCACCACGAAAACGGATTAAAATTGAATGCGTGCCTGCATTCCTCCGCGTGTCATTGAAATAACATAAATCCGATGGCTTTTTCTTCGCTTTGCTGAAAAAGTCTATATAGAGAATCGACAAGGAGTGGACGGACAGTCGAGCGCCACTGAATTATTTATGAGAGATAAGAAAAGTCAGAAGGGAAGACGACGATTTCTCCAAAGATTTTTGTTGGCAGTCGGAGCAATTTATTCGCTCAGCAAACTAAAAAGGACGGCGCTCGGGATGACGATCCGCTAACAGAAGCACAAAGTTGTACATGCGTGTGTGCAGCAACGAGGGAGGGAGGGGGGGGGGGGGTATAAAGACCGATTGAGACATCGCTCTCTCGAGCGCCACTGACAGTTATCTGATTCATGGACATGCCGAGTGTACTTTATGCCGCACGACCTATGAATACAGATCGATCTGCTGCTAGCCTGGACAAGTCTTTCAGCTGCTTGCATTTCAATTAGCCATCGATCCAACAACGTGGCAATTAGTCAGCGCGCGGGGGGTATCCGTTGGCATTTTTCCAAAAAGAGCTTCATCCGCCGCGACGCGCCGAGAAAAATATCGCGGCATTATCAGACGAGGAGGGCATATGGGGCGCACTTTTCAAAGCGGCCGTGGCTATCCATTCGCGCTCCGGCGACGACGGCCCGAATGCCGCGACGACGCACGAGCGAGGACTATCATATCGAGGCTCATCCACGCCACACAGGCGTGCGCCAGCCAGTGACGAATTGCTCGCGAGCCGCTGGCCTATTATTCGCCTATAGGGGCCGCCGCTCCTCTTTCTCCTCCGCCGGCACAAATTGCGACGGGCGTTCGACAACTCGGAACGTTAAAAAGCGGCGGGCTGCGAGCGAGCGCCGGGGTCGCCCCGGCGACGATCGGAAGTGGAAGCGAGGCAGCTCGCTTCGAGCAGAAAGGGAAGGCATTAATTAGCGGCAATCTCCGCACGTGCCTGCCGCGCCATATCTTTCGCCTCCTTGCTAATCCTCGCGAATTTCGGCCCACTATCGCTCCGACTTGCTCAATTTCGGCTATCGGATTTGCGTTTCAATTGCCTCGAGTCGACGACCCGATTGTCGCGCCGCGATCGACGGCCAATATTCATCGAGGCGCCTGTTTTCCAAACAAACATGACGAGCGCAAATGTAAACAAGAGTAGATCGGCGATAAATCATCGGTGCGCGGCGATCGCTCCTTACATTTGTATCTAAGCCTAAAAGAACAGGCAGACGCGTTGAACTTCACCGCCAAGTGTCTCGTCGCGGGGAATAAGAGCGTTAATGGAATCGTCGTCGTCGCGACGCTTTGTTTTGCGAGAGTAAAAGAAACGAACCGACGACAGAGGATGAATCAGGTTTAAAAGCAAGAAATAAATTTAGAGAGAGAGAGAGAGAGAGAGAGAGAGTAGGGGGACCCGCACGACGACAAAATATAAACGCGCGTGTGCAGGAAAGGATAAAAATATGTACGCGTGTGGAAGATGAAACGGGCGTGAGACGATAGGAAGCAAATGCGAAGACATGTGACGAGCACGTGTCGCTTCGGCGATCTGCAAGAGCAAGTTCGTTAGAGGGATCGCCACGCACAGACACACAGGCGCGCGCGAGAGTTAAGAGAGATGACGTATGGCGCTTTTCGGGGGTCAGAGAATCTTGAGAACCGCAAGGTACCAGCGACGGCCGTATTCCGATTGCGTAAACGGTGGCGCGCGGCATGTTTCAAAATACACGGCTAGATAGCGCGCGACCGTAAATCTTGGCAAATAGAAAATATAATCCGAATCTCGCGAGCCAGTCGCTCTTGCGAAGTTGCACGAGATTCGAGGTTAATGGCTGCGCACGAAGAGAGTCTCTCTCTCTCTCTCTTGAGCTTAATGTCCGCGATTAATCAAGCGACCGAGCAGGAGACGAAACAAGAAAAGCCTGTCACTCTCTAACGTTTCCTATAATTAACCAGAAAGAGCTGCTACTCCCCCCTCCTCTCTGTTTCTGTCTCCCTTGCGGTGGCGAGACGTTATATACAGGCCAAGCAATAAATACACGATTGTAACTACGAGTCGTCAAACGACTCGCTCGCTTGATGAAAACGCGGAAAGTTTTGCACACGCCGCGGTAATGAGCCAGAAAACTGGCGACAGCCGGCTATACATATGCGCCCTAGCGACCGTGTGTGTTTGGCCAAGCGGTCCCATAACTCACTGGCCCCTTTTCGGCAGTCGCTTGTTAGCGAGCGACGAGCAGACATTAAGATTCCCCCGCGACCCCCCACCCTCTCTGGCTCTCTCGACGAAAGACGACTCACACTCGAAACGTAGCTCCTTAGATCGATGGCGAATTAAAAATGATTGAGAGACTTGTCTCTGTTTTGATGCTTTCGTTTGGAAGCTCTGCTGCGTATAGCCCGCGCATCACTTCGGATCAACTCAACATACCATAGATTAATTGTACGATGCATTGCATCTTATTCGACGCTACGATTCGCGGCTATTTTGACGAACTCGTCGATGGCGAACGGCAATTGAGCGACAGCGCACGGTCGCTGCCAATTGACAGTGACAATTGGAAACACGACGACAGGCGGAAGAGCAAAGGAGAAAAAGCATCGTCAACTTGTCGTCGGAGAAAAAAAGCCAGTAAGCCTGACACGTATCGCAGGCCATAAGCCATCCGGGAGTCGGGGATGGAACGCGAAGTTAGAGCGGAAGAGTGAGGTTGCTCGCAACTGATAAATCCGAAAGCCGAAGAATAACGTGTCGCCATTACTCAGTGTTGCGAGGCCCGTGCGTTCGGATGATCCTCTCCTCGGGCCGGCGTCGCGGATTCGCTGCCGGCTCTGTAGCTCGCAAAACAGAGTAACGCTTAATTCTGGCGATGCAGCGCTATACGCTCGGCTATATATAGCGCCGGCCGACAATGAAGGAGAAAATTCGTTGACGTTGAGTGACGCGCCCCTGGCCGCGGCGCGAGGATCGCACAATAAAACACGTGGCGACAAATTCGGCGCGTCGGCAATCACGATCAAAACCAAAGCAGCCTGCGCCCTATTGTGCGGTCACGCCAGTGCAGGCTCCGGCGCTGCTGCAGCTCTCTCTCTCTCTGCGGCTCGCGCGGTCTTCGGTTCCGCTTGCCGAGCTCGTCGCGCGCACCAGCTCAAATTTCATGTCGATATACCAGGCGCCCGTGTACACGGCGTGTTCTTTGCAACGCCTCGGCGCCGTTGATGACCTGGGGGATGCGCGACCCTTTGTCGGTCAGTGCGCGCACGCGCGATTCGCAACGATCCCATTTCATTTTTTATTCTTTTTCCGTGAATTCAAGTCACGGACCGCCTTGCCATTGAAGAGTACGAGCCAACCGACCGATAAACTCAACTTTTAAAATACCAATTTCCATCAGTTTCAATATTCGAGCTGGATCCAAAACACACATCTCTCTCTCCCGCCCATACACGATCGACTA